TCAATGGGAAAAAAATGGATCTCAAAATCATAGTCATTGCCTGAAAGGTTTTTATTTTTGTGAAGGCATGAAAGCTTTCAATGTCATACTACACATCTCTAACATGACATTCAACAAAAACTGTAAAAAATGGTTTCATTTTCAAAATGTTATTTTTCCTATCTATTATTTGCATTCATAAGTTTATTTTAATATATGAGCAATATCACACGAATAGCAGTGTGATATTGTATGGCTGTATATCGGCACTGGTGGAAGGCATGCGTTGACACAAGGCCGCAAACCAAGTGTCATTAGTGTCCCACCAGTGACAATATACAGCCATATTGCACTGCTAGTCGTATGATATTGTGTTTATACAATAGTTTGATAGGCACAATCACATATATAAAAAAGAAAATCAAACACAGTCTAAAAATACTTTTGTATGAGGAATTACTTTCTTTAGCCATTCATTCACATCTGCAGCTGATGTCAGAACAGCAGAAGCCGTTACTAATTCCTCAACGTCACTTTAGTGCTAGTGTTTGAATGATTCTCTAGCATAATGTCTAAAGTGATGACAAAACAGCTGATTTTACTTACATTTTAAAATTATAAGGCTGAACGACATGAAATGCCATCAGTCTGGAGGCATTTCCCAGTATTTTTCTGTTGCAAAATCACAATAATTAACCCTAAAAAGCCAAAGCAAACACTACCAGAATACTGTTGTGTTTATGATAAGAAAAAACACTAAACACATGTGATAATTTCTTCTTTCTTTCTTTTTACTGAACTAATCTGCAGTAATGAAAACAGAAGACTCATTAAAAACAAACAGATGGCCAACCAAAAAGTAACTCAGGGTTATACAATGAGTGGCTACACAAAAAAACCTACATACCTGATATCTACTGTACATCCCATCTTACAGACTCCACTCAATACTCTACAATTACTATAGTATAAATACAGCACTGGGACACACAAAATAGAGACATCAACTTACCAAGAGAAGTCACTTACCGGTTTTTATGATTATTTGATCAGTTGTAGTTAGAAATTACAAAGTTTTCTCTTAGGGTATTTTATGTGGTCTCTGTCGCAATCTTGTGGATGGACAACATCAGCCTCTAACAAGGCTGTATCGCCGAAATTATAAAAATTTAAAATAGGCACTGTCCTTATAAATAAACTGCATAGTTGCAATATAAACAACTACATTTTCGACTAAAACAGCCTCAACTGTACATGATGTTGTCCAACAGCTGCAATATTCATCAATCTGTAGTGAGTTTATTAATCTGCTGTCAATCTATGTGTGCAGAGTAATACACAAAAGTGAAGAGGCTGTACGAGTTCTGATATTGCAGAATATCACACGACTATCAGCCAATCAGATTCAAGAATTAGACAAAACTGTAGTATAAATTTGTTTATATCATGTATTTAAAATGACTTGCGTGTGCTGTATGATTTCTAAATATTACTATTGCTATTAAAAGAAGATCATTAAGCAAGGGCTTGAATTTAAATCTGTGCCTTTTTCAAAGCTATCAAATAGCTAGAATAAAGTACAGAACACTTAAATATAATACACAAGTCATCCTAACCAGTTTTACTGTGCTTTTTAAAAGCTGAGCTCTAAAAAACACCAAACGCATTTGTTGTATAGAATAAAAAAACTCTGCCATTCTGCTTAATAAGAATGCAGTTACCAACAACACCATTTACTCTGAAACAAGATGTTTTTTTTTTGGTTGCTTATTAAAACAAAGATCAGGCTGGTTAATTATCCAAAGAGCCAACAGTGATGACAAACAGACTTTATGCCGAAAGATGCGACTCTCATTAGCTTTGTGGCCACAGAAATCCAGCAGAGCATTTCTCAGAGGGGGTGTTTATGACAGTTTAAAACCACAAACACATTCCATGAGGACAGCGAGACGGAGTGAGCGAAAGAACGAGAGAGAGACTGGTAAAATGATGCCATATAAATCTCTGCAATCACAGCTCGGATTTAAATTTTTCATGGCGGAGGTGTGCTGCAATGGACCTGATCACCGATCGCTGGTGTTCTCTACATTATTCACTAGCCTCTCTTATAGCCGACTTCATTTATGTTGACAAAGTACTTGAAGGGAGCTTCTTGTCTTCCAGAACTTGCCAGATTTCCACTGGTTTCTGCCCACCGCGCTGTAGATAAGACAGATGCTGACAGAGCTCTTTCATTTCATCACTGAATCATTCATAAAGCATTTGGGGCTGCCAAGAACCAAACCTGCTACAATCACACACACACACACACTCACGCATGTACACGAATATATTGCCTGCTCATGATCCAAGATTTGTGGAGCTGTCATTTTTGTCCCTTACTTGACCCTTAAATGCACACGAACGCATATTAAACTGAAATCAATCTATCAAATCTGACGACAACTGTCACAGTCAGTTACAGTTGGGTTTAAAGGAATAGTTCACTCAAAAAAGAAGTCATTATTTTCTCAGAGGCCACATGACATTTTTGTTGCTGCAACGTCATTATTATAGTTTGCAATTTCAAAGTTTTTTAAGCCTTGTCAATTTGATGAGTCTACCAAAATTAAATCATTTAAAGTCAAGACAACAATAAAGAACTCAATGTAGTACTCACATGCTGATTATTTGCACACTGTGAGCAACAAATAAATCATTTGAATTTAGTTTGTTTTTAAAAGTTTTTGGTTGTTGGTGGTGATGTTGTTAATGCAATAATTTTTCTTCTATAATTAGAGATGTGCTGTGGTGATTTATTATTACTAACAGCTACTGTGCACACTATTTGATTTGTACTTTTGATGTTTTGTATGCCTAGAGCTAGTTTTCTCTCTTATCTCTTAAATAGATCTAAAACAGCCCCAGTATTAACACCATTATTACAGGCTTACCATTATGACAAAACTTATTTAGATGATGGATTAACATTAATATTCATTCCTTCATTCATTTTCTTTTCGGCTTCGGTCTTTTTATTTATAAGGGGTCGCCACAGTGGAATAAACTGTCAACTTATCCAGCATTTGTTTTACACAGTGGAAGCCCTTCCAGCTGCAACCCAGAATTGGGAAACATCTATACACTCTCATTCTCACACGTACACTACGGACAATTAAGCTTACCCAATTCACCTATAGCATATGTCTTTGGACTGTGGGGGAAACCGCAGCACCCGGGGGAAACCCATGCGGGGGAACATGCAAACTCCACACAGAAATGCCAACTGACCCAGCCGGGGCTCAAACCAGCTAACTTCTTGCTGTGAGGTGATCGTGCTACCCACTGCGCCACCATGACACCCCAGATCTAAAACAGTCCCAGTATAAACACTATTATTCTAAGTTTACCAAAATGAAATTATTAGAAGATGGATTAACAGTGCTCATTGAATTAATTTACATCATTAATTTATTTTCCTTAATTTAGTTCCTTTATTCATAAGTGGTCGCCACTGCGGAATGAACTCCCATCTTATTCAGCCAACCCAGTATTGGGAAACATCTATACACTCTCATTCACACACGTACACTATGGACAATTAAGCTTACCCAATTCACCTATAGCATATGTCTTTGGACTGTGGGGGAAACCGCAGCACCCGGAGGAAACCCATGCGGGGAGAACATGCAAACTCTACACAGAAATGCCAACTGACCCAGCCGGGGCTCAAACCAGCTAACTTTTTGCTGTGAGGTGATCGTGCTACACTATGGCCAATTTAGTTAATTCAATTCCCCTATACCGGGGAAAAGTCACGCCAACACAGGGAGAACATGCTAACTCCACACAGAAATGCTAACTGGCCCAGCCGGGACTCGAACCAGCGACCTTCTTGCTGTGTGGCGACAATGCTAACCACTGAGCCATTATGTGGCCTAATTTGGATAATTTAAAGTGTGAATTCTGCATTCACACTTTAATTAAATTAAATTCATTTAATTTGACTTGAATTAAACAATGATGTAAACACGTAGCAAATGATATCTATAGTAGAAACAAGATACTAAAAATAACAATTTATAACAATTTTTAAAATATCTTAAACTCTATTTATTTAACTTCTGTTGGCCAAAGTGCTGTACAAATGTAAAAAAAAAGAACAAAGATTGGGAAGAAGGAAAAATAGAGAAATAATGCATTTTTAACTTTGAAGTAACATTTCATGCTTGTTAAGTCAAAACAGAAACTAAATTAGCATACTATCATCTCAAAATCATTGCAAGAATTAGATGTTTTGTGTCCAGTGAGAACTTAGTGAAACTTGTTCATGCTTTTATCAGCAGCAGGGTGGATTAGTGTAATGGACTCCTCACTGGCCTTCCCAAAGACACATTCAGACAGTTGCATCTCATCCAGATCGCTGCTTCCAGGATTTTGACCAGAACCAGAAAATCAGAGCACATCACACCTGTCCTCAGGTCTTTACACTGACTCCCAGTAACATTCAGAACAGATGTTAAAGTATTACTACTGGTCTATAATCACTAAATGGCCTAGGACTTTAATACATTACCGATATGATCATTGATTACAAACCTAACAGGTCACTCAGATCTTTAGAATCAAGTAAACTAGAAATTAAATTTGTAATAATTTTTATTCTTTGTTGGTTTTATTTTCTTGTTTCTTTTATTCCTGTTCATGTAAAGAAAAAAAACTTTGAATTAGAATTGTGTATGAAATATGCTATTTAAATAAAATTGGCTTGCCCTAAAATTAGCGAGGAAACAGTTCTGATAGACTTACTCTGTGTTCAAAATAAGAAAGGAACTCATAAAGGTTTGGAACAAGTGAAAGGCCAGTAATAATGTCAGAATGTTCTTTTCTCGGGTGAACTATCCCTTTAAGCAAAGAAGCCAGAATAACTTATGTTTAAACCAACACTGATGGTCTTTTTCTGTCAGCAGAGAGCATGCACTGCCCTTCCAAGAAAATCTCTTTGTGGAAATGGTGTTGGAGGCTGAGAGGACGGGTCTTACCTTTGCCATGGGCACTCCCTCTGGGGGACGGCAATGCAGCACAATCATGCCCTTGATTGGCACTTCCTTCCCTTGAGGATCCTGCTCGAAGTTCTTGCGGAGGTCTGTTAGAAAAGATAAGAGGCAGCTGTCACAGCGGGCAGAGTCCGAGCCGATATTTGGCCTATCTGTGCCAATCGCTTTTACCGCTCGACATCCTGCTCTCTCTTTGCCCCCCTGCCCTTCTTTCTGGCAACCTTGAAAAGGCAGGGCAAAAGAGCAGAAGAGAGCAGGCATTCTCAACGGTGCTCCGACCATCTGCTGGAGTTGCAGGTGTCTTTGCTGCAGTTCAGTTGGGCAGTTTTGCTTCACCCCTGCTGTGCTTCTACAGAAAAGTTTTTTTTTTAACTTCTGAATACTTACTTTGAATGTACAGAATGAAAATGTAAGAAAATCTGAATAAAATGGTCTGGCTTCAGGTAAAATAACAAAAACACTAGCTATGCTTCCATCCAAAAATGCGAATTAACTATATGCGCAAAACTGTATTATCGCATAAAAGACATGCGAATTAACCAGCTCTCTCATCCAGTTAAAGCGAACAAAATTGATACTTCCTGATTCCAAATATCAACAGTAAAAATGGAATTTACTATGGTTGGAAAAGCTGCGTGAATCTTTTCTTTGTTTAATAAATGACTTGCGCCTCAGAAAGCAATCCTGACACACAGTGAACACGCGGTGGCGTTTAAAGGCATGAGACGCGGAGCGCAGATGCTCTTGACAGTTCTGGGGGTCATTAATAATATAATACCACTAATACCGAAATGTTAAAGGGGTTTTAGAGTGACCGAAATGTCATGATGTAACGATGTGTTATAATGTGCTCAGCCTGCTGGTTTATCCGTTCGCACACATTTTTATCATCACATGATCTTTTATAATAAAATCACATGACCTTTTTTAATGCCCCATTTTAGATTATATTAAATGAATTTTAGATTTAGTATCTAAAGCTAAAAAAGTCCAATATGCCTTTTTAATATGTCTTCAGATTTAAAGTGTTTAAACAAAGATTTACTGACAGCTTGTGCCAGAGTTAAAACATTTTTGTCAGTATTTACTAAACATGCGAGGAAAAATTAGTGCTGAAACTGTGAGACACGACTAGTTTTGTACCTGATCTCATTGAATATATATTTTTGGGTATTTCTCAGTCAGACTCTAATTTTATGGGAGTGGAGATTTTTATGACTCCTTAGATTTCTAGTATTTACACCATTGTTTAAAAATTATTTTCTTTAGATAAGATTCAACTTTATTGTCATTACACATGTACGAGTACAAAGCAAAGGAATGCAGTTTAGGTCTAACCGGCAGTGCAATAGCAGCAAGTGCAGGATATTTCTATAAGTTATAAAGTGTAGCCATAGAAAAACTACTGTGATATTTATAGATGGATGTACTATAAACATTATACACAGGTTGTATTAGATATGAACAGAGATTTACAGTAGATGAATATTTGTACAGGTTGCTATTAATAATCAGAGGTGTGAATATAAATATGAACAATTACAAATGTACATGTACAATATAATACAATGCATTGTACATAATACAATATGTACAATTCAAAATGAATGAGTGCAATGTTTTATTATAAAGCCTAAAAAAGCATCTAATAAATGTTTGTTAGAAATTTGTTAGAAATGTTATAGTTTTTGTTGCTGAAGGAGGTATTATTTGTGGTTCTGAATTCACTGATTAAAATAGCACAAACACACACAGTAACTTTGTCTTAAGCAGTAACACTGATATGCTAGGGTGGCTGTAGTCCAGTCAGAAAAAAAAATGTTTTGCCCCCAAATTGATGACCAGATGTCCCATAATTACCAGGACAGTTCTGTATTTCAGCTCTATTTTTAGTGTCCCATGAGAACAACCTATTCAAAGGTAATCAAGCTCACTGTAGAAGAAAATCAGTCTAACATCCATTCACAAGTCATAATTTCAGTGATGAGTTGACTTTACTCTAAATAAAGTGAATAAAACTTGCTTTTAAAAGCGATTTACTGACTTTACAAGGCATGTTAGGACTGCATTGTTTTGATTTGTGTTCTTGTATGTTTTTTGTCTGTTCTTAGGTTGGGGGCACCTGATGCTCATCACCGCCCTTATTTAAACTCAGTGAGAGAGTTTGTTGGGGCCGCTGTTCATTCATTGTTTGGGCAGTTGGCCAGAGCTGTGCTACAATTTAGGCTTTATGTTTTGTTTTGCATCCATACACTAGCGCTGACAACACTTACAGCATCCATTCACTTGCTTTTCACCATGATCGAACATACTGATACTTATGTTTTGATTATGTTGTTTTCAAGTATTTTACAATAAATATTGTTTTTGACTTTCATTATTTTTTTGTCTCCCTCAATGTTACATCTTTGAGCCAGGTGTAACAAGCAAGTAAACCCATAGCCTAATAATAAGCCTATTATAATAGCCCAAGTAAATAAACTATGCGCATAGTTATAAAAAGTTAGCAATGTGTTTACATATTTTTAAAGTAACTAATTGCTTTTAAAGTGTGATTAACTTGCAGTAACATAAAACAGTATCATGATGTACAACACAACTCCCACGCAATGCTAGTCCCTCAGTGTGTGATCAGTTCTCCTTTCGCCTAAAGTGTCAAATAAACAGCTTCAAAATGTACATCTTGCATAAGCACAATCAGATATAGCTTACTCTAATTAGATGTATTAAGACATGCAGTTCTCAAGTCTTTCACCTTTGTATGTAAACGGTTTTGATTGTCATCTTGTGGTTACTTATATTAAGTTTGTGCCTATTTTTCATTATAGTACGTATATAAATAGGCCATGAATAAAATAAAACTACTTTTGTTCAATGTGTGTACCATACATAGCTGATTTTATTAAATAAGCAGGCAAAGTTTGACAGTAGGAATACTGATTATTTTCTTGGCACCCTGGTAGGTAAAAAAAGACAATATTGCGTTGTGCCTGGTCATGAAGAAAAAAAAATGTTTGTTGAACTTAAGTAAATAAAATAGCCTTTACATGCAGTTAGTTCAGGTTGGCACAACAACAACCAAATTTTTTTTTATAAATGATACTACTACTACTACCGCTACTATTTCCACATCAGATATACTGTAGCTTATTGTAATTAAATGTAATAAGACAGGCAGTTCTGAAGTACTACTACTACTACCACATCAGATATAGCTTACTGTAGTTAAACGTAATGAGACATGAAGTTCGAAGTACTACTACTATTATTACTACTACTACCACTTCTACTACTATTACTACTACTACTACAACAACAACTACTACTACCACTACATCAGATATAGCTTACTGTAGTTAAACGTAATGAGACATGAAGTTCTGAAGGACTACTCCTACTATTACTACTACTACCACTTCTACTACTACTACTACTATATCGGCTATAGCTTACTGTAATTAAATGTAATGACATGCAGTTCTGAAGTACTACTAGTACTACTACTACTACTACCATCTGTAATTAAACATAATCATGAGACATGAAGTTCTGGAGTACTACTACTACTGTTACTTCTACTACTACTACCACTACATCAGATATAGCTTACTTTAATTAAATGTAATAAGACATGCAGTTCGGAAGTACTACTACTACCACATCATATAGCTTACTGTAGTTAAACGTAATGAGACATGAAGTTCTGAAAGACTACTCCTACTATTACTACTACCACTTCTACTACTACTACTACTCCTACTACCACTACAATATAGCTTACTGTAATTAAATGTAATGACATGCAGTTCTGAAGTACTACTATTACCACATCAGATATAGCTTACTGTAATTAAATGTAAAAATGAGACATGAAGTTCTGAAGTACTACTACTATTACTTCTACTACTACTACTACTACAACTACCACTACATCAGATATAGCTTACTGTAAATAAATGTAATAAGACATGAAGTTCAGAAGTACTACTACCACCATTACTACAACAACTACTATACTCACAGGCTATCCTCACGGTGGCATTGTGCCCAGTCATAAAGAAAGGTTTGTTGAACTTAATTAAATTAAGGAAGCATTTACATGCACTTTGTTCAGGTTGACACAACAACAACCAAAAAAGTTTATATAAATGTTACTACTACCACTACCGCTGCTACTACCACTACTACTACTACTACAACACATCATATATAGCTTACTGTAACTAAATGTAATAAGACGAGCAGTTTTGAAGTACTACTACTATTATACTTCTACTTCTACCACCACTACACATCAGATATAGCTTACTGTAATTAAATTTAATAAGTCAAGCATTTCTAAAGTACTACTACTACACACTGTGCTTTATATACTTGCAGAGGCTGCTTCAGCATACTCACAGGCTATCCTCACGGTGGCTCTGCGGCTCTTGGATGTTCCTAGATGACTCCAGGCCACACACAGGCACCAGTAGTCTTCCGGCCCATGAAAATCCTCCACCTGCTGCCTGGTAACATTGATCGTCACTTCGCGGATTTTTACCCCTGTATAACGAGAAACAGAAAGCACGGACATGTTCATCTAAATTCACTTCGGCTCAAAGCCCATTAAGTATTGATTTTCAGTGTTTGGTCACTTCAGACTGGGTTCTTAATGGCAATTGACTGTAAGAATATACGCTGGGTGCCAGAAGGATGAAAGGGTACCAGGACAAGCGAATTCTGTAGTGAACTTTAAAAATATCTTATGCATTGTTATTTAAAAGAAAATCTCTACGACCAGTAAAAAATTTAATGGCCTCGGGTTGCTTTCCCCTTCTCAAGCTGCCCTACATAACTCTAGTTTCATGTATCTCTGCTGCTCTCTCCTTTTTTATTTTTTAGTGCAATACTGATAAAAAAAGCTTTTTTTTTATCTTCGTGTCCCAGGAGGTCCTTCCTTGTTGTCTGTGCCACAGATCGTTAGCAAGATGAAAATAGCTAGCTGAAGTTGCATTAGCCTAAAAGCACAAGAGCCAGGAACGCTTGTTATCCCAGAGGCTTCATTTAAGACAAATATCTTTAGATGAGTCGGTCACAACCTGAACCCTTCCAACTCTCCAATCTAAGATAAAACTGCGGTGGTGCAATTTAATGTCCTTTGACTTTCAAAATGCCTTGCATTAACTTTAGTCACTTTTCAGGTATTTTTTGGTTGTTATGTTATTTTGCATCAATGAAGGGTTTTTTATGAATCAAGTTCATCTTCTACTTGCTTATACAGTATGTCTACAACAGTGTTGGGGTTATAACGCACTATAAGTATTGCCCGTTACATAATAATATTACTTTTCCAAAGTAACGAGTAATATAACGCATTACTTTTAAAAATAAGTAATATTATTTGAGTTATTTAAAAAAAAAATTATGCTAGTTACTTTTTACTTTGCCTAATTGGCTTTTACAAAACATATTGCGGAATAAAAATGACCTTAGTCAGGTTGAATCACACACTCAATGAGAGAGTGTGCTGTGAGAGGACAGACAGTTGCACTCCTCATCATCATAAGGTCTCCTTTTCACAGCAGATGAGTCAGTGTACTGTTCTAGTAACTGAATATCTAAGGATATTGGTTTATTTCGAGTCAGAGGTGGTATCTGGTATGTTAGTACTAACTTAGGACGTAAACCATTTCACGACAACTCATTTTAATTTATTGAACTGGTTCGACCGGTTCACTTAGAACAGGGGTGCTCAACCTTTTTTCACTTCGAGGCCCACCTCTTTCTCCAATTAATTTTTGAAGGCCCACCTGCCTAAAATTTTCTCTAAAATGTTTGTATTAAGTGCTCATTTAAACATTCATTAATTAACAAAAAAATACATTTATACATTTATACATTTGCTGTGCCTTCTACTATTTTCTTATAAATAAATAATAAAAAAGCATTTTAAAAATATCTAAATAATTAATATTATTAAATATTTAAATATTTAATAATACTGTTTCAATATATACTATTTAAAAATATACAAATGAATGTAAAAGAGAGTAAAACACTCTAAATCTGTTGAAACGTGTCAATCTGATGGAGGATGAGTTTGAAAACACGATATTGTTGGGAGATCGTTTTTCAGCTCCGCCAGAGAGAGTCTGAAGTTCATAAGTTTATCTTACAGTCTAACCGCAGAAACACCACTGAGCGCCACGTCTATTATAAAACACTTGCAGGACATTTATTTGGACAGCTAAGTGGATATATTAAATTGTTCACAAAAAAAAAAAAAAAAAACACAAAGAGACTTTCACTTCACGCTGTATGTGAATGAACAGACTTGCGTTTACCAGTCGCAGATGTGATCATGAAGCAGTTTTTGCGCAGAGTTTAAAGTAATCAATCACAGAACACGAGAAAGTCCATAACTTCAATCATTTAAAGATAGCATAGTAAAAATGAATTATGTGGCCCACCGGTTGAGAATAACTGACTTAGAAAATCCTGTTACAAACAAATGATTCAGTCGCAAATTGCCCATCATCACTACAGACATTCAGAATGGCAGGCTGGAGACTTACATTTTTGCAATGGATTCTTGTTTTGAACTTATCGAAGAAAAGAAATGGATTGTTGTGAAGTGTAGATTATGTGTAAGTTACACTATTGACAACTGTAAGAAACACAACATTGGAAAAAAAAAACTGGATGCGAATCACTATACCACCACATCTGTTCACATCACGCTCTCCAGGTAAAACAATTCAATAAATACTCAAAAACTCAAAATGGTTTTTGCTTTTAATGTTGAGGAGATGCAGCCACTGTCCAACATTATTGAAGTGACTGTGTTTTGTAATATAGTAAGACTTTTTCTCCTGTGGGAAACGATTTACACATTTGATGAACATGTGAGGAAATGTATTTAATGTTAAATGTATAAAGCTCAAAGATTTATTTAGATTTGGGGCTCTTTTTTATCGTCTTACTGTTCATTTTGTTATTAAACATTTTAAAGGTTTAAAATAAGTTTTTGTCTTAATTATTTCTTGTTATACTCTTTGGCTTTATTGCAGTCTTTATCTTAATTAACTGAATTTATTTAATAATACAAAACATTCAAAAGTAGCAAACACATTATATGCTGTCATTAATCTGTATATACATCATGTTTAGCTCTGGGATCAGAAAGTAACAATTTATAAAATATAATTTTATCCTACATTATTTAAAAGGAAAATGAAGGTGTAGTTTATATAGGTGGTAGTTAAATGCAGAGCTTCTCTATAAAACGTGAAAAAAAAACACCTGTTGAAAAAGATTAAACTGCTGCCAGGTAAGGAAAAGTAACGCAAAAGTAACTCAAAAGTATTTAATGCATTACTTTCCTCACTTAGTTACTTTTTTAGGGGAGTATCTCAATATTATAATACAATACTTTCAAAAGTAACTTTCTCCTACACTGGTCTACAATACAAAATAGTACAAATCAGAGAATTTAAAGAAAACTGCAACATGTAAACAACTCAAGAATGCTTCTCCATTTTAAATGTACTTAAACAAGCATTCTGTAACGTTTCTGTATAATACATCTCAGTGCCACCACCATATCTAAAGGCTTTTACCAGATAAATATCAAATAAATCTTAAAGTTCCCCCCAACTATACAGGGATTACCATTGCTGCTCAAAGATAATATGATGGCATGCATTTCATGTAAACAGTTCAGTTGAAGTGGCTCATTTTGATTTTTTTTGTTATAGTAGGATAAGTCCCAGTGCAGTGGGACAAACAAGAATTTTGCTGTGGAAGATGCTGGCAAGTACTGGTCTTTCTTATGTGCAAGCATTCCCTGTTTCACAATCTCAATATCACATTATAAATATCTCTTAAAATGTATCGAGCAAAACTGTTTCAACACTGATAACTGTAGGACATTTCTCTTGAGAATGATAATGTGACACACAAAACCGATCTTTACTATGAGATGAATAAACTGCACTGAAAAATACTGCTGTAATTAATTATATTGTTGATAAACAATATGTTTTTACTGTGTATTTGATCAATAGGTAACACTTTATTTTGATGGTCTATTAGAGTATTAATAGACTGTCTGCTTAATATATTTTGATACTGCTCCTTCAACAGACATTTACCTAACTTAAAGAAACTTTGCATGTACATCATGTCAACTTAAGCTAACCCTAACCCCAACCTAACAGTCTACTTATAATCTAATCTTCAACAAACAGACCACTAAAATAAAGTGTGACCGATCAATATCATATTTATATAAGCTTTTTAACTAAACATTTGAAAGGTACTCTTTTAAAAATGATTTTATAGATGATTTCCACTTAAACACCAAACAAAGGAAAATAAAATGGGTTCCCATTGGCGGCTATCGATGATCACACTCCGTATGTGTGAACATATGAATGAGAGGCAAGATCTCAAGCCGATTACTGCTAACTGCATACTGTGTAAAATACACCTCCACCATCTATAAATGATCACAAACTTGGCAAAAACATTTTGAAAATCTCTCATATTAAATACGCTCAGTTATCTGTCTTCCAAGCTTCAAAGATATCCGCTGATGAAAAGCTGAGGCACAGAATTGCTTCTGAGAGAAATAACAGTTTGAGATGTGGCGTAAGTGGTGTGATTAGAGGATAATAAATGTTGTGTGGGACACGCTGAGCTATATTTTTTCCCTTTCAGTTTTGTTTTTAAAACAATCACCACAAAATGGCACATAATGCTTGAAAGTGACTGTACTATGCTATTTCAAAGCGTATTATTTTTGTTTTGAAGATCTTATACAATTGACTGGCATGCATCCAAGCTGAAATAATACTTTCATTTTTCTCATAACATACATTTCACCTCATGGTTCAAATATTCTCAAACTATTAGTTTAATTCAATGCATGGCACATAAGATTTATTTTAGCACTAATTATAATAACCAATAACATGAGTTTCTGTATGGTCAATCAGATGTTTTTTTTTTTTGTTTTTTTGGTTAGTCACAAATAATTAATAAATGCTTCTTAACAGCAACAATGAAATGTGTTGATGGCCTAAGAAAAGCTGTTAAATATCAAAGCAAATTGGTAATGGTAGTAAAACTTGCATTGTTGACATTTGTTTCAATAGCAAAGTTTCATCCATAACTGTCAATATTTGGATGTGAAAATAAGGGATATCCCCTATAGGATAAATAGTATACATTAGAAAAAAGATGCAAATAAATTAGCAAATTTAGCCTATTAAAATGAATAGGCTAAATGAAGTTTAATCAAGTTATAAATTCTCAGTTTTGCTCCATTTCAAATCATGTGAACAGAATCCGTTTGGAAAACAGCATCTATTTATCAATATGGAGCGTGCCTGACAGTCACGCACCACTACATGAACTGACTGTTTTTAGGATTGTAGTAGAGGCAACGACGCCTGTAATAGAAAAAAAGAGAATCTCGCCAATTTTATATTTATTTCAAAGTGTTTTTATGCCTATATTATTAAAAGCACAGAACAGATTCAAATTTAAGATCAACAGGC